AGGAGCACTGGGCAGGCCATGGCAACCCAAAAGGACACGCGGGAGGAACGAGATCTCTATATACTGTACATCTTTTGGGGCTTCCAAGTCCTGCAAGTTCAGAGAAGGAATTGCAGAAGAAAGTCTAGTGCATGCAATGATGGATTGAAGCCATCAAAATGAACCTCTGTCTAAGCCAAGTGTCTTGAAGCCTCACCGCTGGAACTGGCCTTGCACAGTGAAGACCTGGAGGACCCGTTGATCTTGAGTTTCTGCTACCTAATGCCTCAAAAAGGCTGCCATCCGACATCCCTTGTCTTCACGTAGACTTGATGCGACTAATTAACTTAAACTCTGCAATCTGCGGCAAGCGATCCGATGAAAATGGTGAAAGACCTAGTGAAACAAGTTGACAAGAGAGTTCGACCAACGGTTTTGTGGTGAGTGTTGAACAAAGCTCCGTGGAGAGAAGAATATCCCGTGCCGGAAAAGAAATGAAAGCAAGTAAAGCGTGATTTGCTACCCTGTGCAATCACATCTTGTGAGCCTGCACCATTGAGGTGCGGGTGCAGGCAGGGGCCGAACCCAGCTCTGTCTCATGCAACTCTTGATGTCAAACTGTCAAACCATCACTCCTGCCTCTTATTTCTTGTTCTTCCACTGTCTTTAAGTCTTTGGCATTTCAAGGCTAGTGGCCCCGGGCTCCTATCTGATTCCAGTGTCTTGGCAAGGCTGTGTATGTTTTTGGACCATAGGCTACTCTGCAAGTTAGCAAACGACAAGCTGCAGGGCCGTGCTGAGGATAAAGTGCGAAAGAAATCAATCATATGGTGCAACTCTGAAGAAGGACTGTCGCTTGAGAAGTATCAAATCTCAACTGTCGCATTGCACATGGCCCAACGAATGCATTGCCCAACGAGCAAGTAGCTCTAGAAACCCATACGCTTGAGGGCGACCCACCATCGACATGAATCGATATCCCGAACCGGACATCGCCCCATGAACCGTCGCCTTTCGCCCTTTGCCGTCCATCCCTGAGTCGGAAGAAGCTGAGAAGGGAACAATGGACACGATCTCGTGCTCAGCTCAAATTATAGGGGGGACCTGATTTCATGGAGGATCCAGATTATGTTCAACCTATCACATCCATCAAGCACCTTTCTGCCTTTCTGAGGGTACTAGCTCCCCAGCCTGGCGGCGGCGGCACCTGCAACATTGAAAGCAGGGGAGCATTGCAGGAGTTGGACTTGCATATCTTGTTGCAGATCTATGCAAACAGAGACATGACTCTTCGGATGACTCCACATGTACTCACGTCTTGGCAATAAGCCGTGCCCGCCCGCCAAACCGCCCTGACGCCTCTGACCCCCGTGGGGCTGGGTAGGCGTAGGGGTCGTAGCGTGGCGCCTGCACTGCACCAGTTGGGGAGCGTCTTTGATCAGCTATTGTTGCGAATCAACTTGCAAGTTCGTTGAGGTATGGCTCCAAAAATGAAAAAGATATGAAAAACCCAGGAGAATTGTGCCGTGAAAATGCTTCCCCTGTGTTTTTGTGTCTGTGGTTTGAAAACCATGCCGAGTCTTTGAGCCAACAGGTCGGCAAAACACAAAAATGGCTCGTTCATCGCTAAATCCTTCTCTCGTTCCCTTTTTGGCCTTCCCAAACCCTTCCTCCTCTTGGAAAAACCTCATAGATGTGCCTGCTTTGTCTAATGCCTGGCACCACCTTTTGAACAACACGACCCTCGATGGCGTTGCACTTGCCAAATGCCTGCGGCGGCCCCCAAGCCTTAGCATATCGTTGTCTGAGGGCCAGCAACGTCAAACACATCACCAGCCAATTTCAGGTGCAGTGATGCCAAGCATCATGTGCCGCATCGTTGAGAGAACATGCTTGAAACTTGCCCTCGACCCCAGAAACCTGGTATGCAGGACAAGTGCGTGAACACCATATATATATATACATATATAAACGCTATATAGCCTTATATATGTTGTTTTTCCAGGACATGGGCCCACATTTTGGAACACCGTCCATTGCTTTCCCATGCTCATTGAACTCTCGGATCTGGACAGTTGGGCGAACCATGTAGCCCGGAGGAGGATGCGGCGCATGCGGTGGTGGCGGGCCTGGGTGACCTCCGGAAACAAAGAAGAAGAAGAAGAGAAAGAAGAAGAAGGAGGAGGAGGGAGCCTCTTGACTGGGGACACCAGAGAATGCAATGGCATCATACAAATCTCTTAGAAATATAACATGAAGGAACATGTCAGCGCCCCAAACAAATAAAGCGCGCATCAGTGAGGCAAAATGGACAAGCAAGGTCATACTTCAAGTGACTGTTCCACACTTTGTCAAACCGGTATCTGCACAAAAGGTTGGCTGACTTGACAGGTGGCATGATGTCTGTACACCACTGAAGCCCTGTTATGTGTACACACGGCTACAAAGAACTCCGACAATATTCCCATCCCGTGGAAAGCCGCCATAGACCAGCGAACATGATCCAACCAAGTCCGAGTCTCCGAAAACATCCGAGCAGTCCATGTGCATATCACTCTGTGCCTCTGAGTCCTAGTCGATCTTAGTCCGGCAGTCCTTCAAAGATTCATTGAAGACGTCAATTCCAAGCCACTTCCCGGGTTAACTCCTTTGACCTGCTCTCTCGTTGCGGTCTCTGCGGTCGGTGAATTCCTTGCACCTGGAGAGTGACACTGAAATTGGCACGCAGCCGTCACGCGGAGGGCAAGCTCACATTGATGTGATGCGTCTTCTTGGAGAACTTGGCCCTCACCTTTGTGGGAAGCACCTCGCAGTGACGAACCACCTCACCTCGCCTACCTCTCTTTGGCACCCAAATTTTGCAGGTCATTCCTCTGATTTGTTTGTCTGAGATGCAGGTCCATACAACATTGCAAAAAATAAGTGCAGGTGTTGCTTGGGGAGTGGAGGCTGATTTGTGTCTGTATGTCTGTATATTCATTGATACAATACATAGAGAGAGAGAGAGCGTTTTCCCGGAGAAAACGTTTTCTATTTCAGTTCCAGGAACTGCGGTCGGCAGCTTCACTTGAAGAGGCATCAGCGAATGCGGGAAGACGATGGTTGCGCTCTCTTGGGTCACGTCCAAATCCTCAGGGTGTCTGCTATGGCGACACAGATGCAGGTTCCACTGGAGCCTCAGGGGGGTGTGCTGAAGGGGTTAGACGCACGGAACCGCCTGCTTGTACTATGCGCCACTATCACGGTGCATCAACAGGTTGAGGTTCTGTGCAATGAAGTAAGCCTCTTTCTCAAGTTTCGTGGCCACCAAACAAACCCTTGTTCCGTACACACTGCAATTAGACTGGAGTTGCACACTTGTTCCACACCACCCGCAGAGCCTGAAACATGTCGGTTTGCAAAGGTTAGATTCTCACTCTAATCTAAGGGTGTTTCCAGCCTCCTTCAGACGGCGAAGCTCCCGTCAAAGGGAAGACAAAATCCCCTCCGTCAAAAAGCCCAGCGAATGGTGTGCTTCATTCATCATTTGGGCAAGACCAAAACACCCCGAAATTGTGCAGGTGAATATTGTCAGGTCTGCTGAGATCTCAATCGTCCACAGTCAAGTAGCAGGTGGACATCCCACACGTTCAAAAATGTCTTGGAAGTGTGTCTTCATTCATCAAAGACGGCATGAGTTTAGACTCCAAACCCTCGTAAACCTTCTCGAAAGTGGATGCCAAACAACCCTCTCTTTCGGTTTCAGTGTCCACTCCCTTCATTGAGTCCAACTCCGGCACATGGATCTGCAGCTGATGCCCCTCCTCACATCGCTGAAGCGGTTGGAGGCGGTCGGGTTGAGTGTCCAAGCTGGAGTGTGTTGTTGCCCGATGCGGTGCGAAACAGCCACATTATGCCAACGACCTGGGGAAGTCAACAAAGTAATTCTGATCGAAAACATGTTTTTCCGGGGAACATACAATAAAGTTCGCTACATATTGGGATCCTTGTTGCTGTGGAACTTCGTTCTGGTTGCCAAGGCTTGGTTGTTATGCGATGCTATGCGGCTACGAGATCAACATCGTGCTCCTCTGTCGCGGTCAAAGAGTACTCCGCAGATCGCCTGCACCACAGAATAGGGCAGGTCGTGTAGTTTTGTACACATCGCTGCCAATGTTTTAGACCTTTCTAAGTAAAGGGGCGTGTGATCAGGATGGGGTCTTTACTTGGCGAGACAGATTGCAATCCAACGCTGCAAGGATTCAATGGGAGCGTGTGATTTCAGAGTCTGGTTTCTTGGGCTCACAAGCATCACAAAGGCATCGTTGGGCTTAACCCCCCAAGGATCTGCTCCTCGAAAGCTGATCACAAGCGGTGTCATATCCTCTTTAGTCGCAGTCAGGCTGCGTGGTGGTGGTAATAGTAGTAGTAGTAGTAGTAGTTGTTGTTGTTGTTGTTGTGGTAGCAGCAGCAGCAGCAGTAGTAGTAATGGTAGCAGTAGCAGTCCAATAGCCGCCGTAGTAGCAATAGTAGTTTGCATTGCGTACGAAAAAATTGATATTTGTACTAAGGATGAGTCAGCTCCACTACTAGGCTATGGTTATGGTTGCGATTTTAATTTATGAATGTTTGTTGCTTCGGATACTTTTCTGTTCTTGGGGGGCTCGCAATTCGCTGTTATTTGCGGCAGTGCGGGCGTCCTGTTTACAACCCTTTGGACCTACACCTTGCAAATCCGCAGTTAGTGTCAGCAGTAAGAAGCCTCCTCTAAATTCTACTTTCAACAGGCTCACAACGGGCACGCTACGTTGCCCTAATCTCTACTATCCTCGCCGTCTAAATTTTTCTCTCGGGTGGTTCACGGAAACTATGACTTTGGGTGTTCACTCCTCTAAATATTACCCTCAAATGGCTCACCAAAGGCGTGCTATCTTGGAATGCCTAAAAATTACATTCAAAGCACTTGGGCGCCTCTGCTCCTTTGGCTCCGGCTCTTTCTGCTTCTGCTCTTCTTGCTTCTGACCGGCTTCCAACAAAGATTGCAGGTCATCCATCCTGAAAGAAATTCGACTTCACTGACTCAGCAGTCTGGAACACCTAGAGTTCGTCCCACAATTGTGCTGTCAATATCTGTTGGCGCTATCAAAGACTTGCTTCGGTTAACATTTCAGCTGGATTGAAAAATCTCGTCGTGGAGGACTTGTAAAGTTTTAAAAAGCCTGGTGTCGAACTTCTTTCATTTTATGGATGGACACTTTTTTGTCGTAATTTGAGACAGTTTCTTTGAACATCAAGATCAAGACCGTAAAACAAAACAGGGAAAGCGCAGGCGCAGCAGGCACTTTTGCCGGTTGGTTTGGTTTCTTGTCCTTACCGCCACTAAGCCAGAACCCAAGGGTGAGACTCAGGAAAAAAAAACAGGACCGAGAACCCTGCGTCGGGCCCGTGGGCGTCGCACTCTCAGTATGGTAAGAATCGCGTCCCAAGCCGGACGCCAAGGAAGTTGCGTCTTGAAGTATAGTTTGCATAATTCCTAATGGCCGCTGTAAGCACCTGGCAAGTAGCCTGGTTGAGCAGGGCAGAAACACATTCAGAACCCTGCAAAAGTGCGTTGGGGCAGGTTGGCCTGCGGCGCCGGGCTTGCGCTGCAGGCAGATGCACCATGTCGCACCAGGTTCGGGTCACTTGGCAGGCAATTCGGGCGGCACGGTTTCCACACGCCGCTGGCGTGGCCCAACACAACCCAACATTGTTCAATAAAGCTAGAGCGCCAGGGCTGACCGCAATCTCCGACAACGTACGATGGAGGCGCGATGACTTCTGGAGGGTCCAGCAGTTCAAGCCCACTGTAATTCCTGGCAAAAAGTATTGCAAAATTGACGACAATCATTGAACGTGAAAAAATTCGCTGGCGAGGCTCTCTTCTGGAGCGGCGGCGTTGATCAATGCGCCGGGCGTTGACTGACACGGATCTTTTTGCAAGCGCCTTCCCCTTTGGCTTCGCAAAGTAAAACGGCGGGCCATATAGGCAAGTTGCCCAGCCAAGTTGGCCACAAAAACATCAGAGAAAAAAGTTGAGTTGATATACGCGTACGCCAACACACTTCTGCTGAAACGCCATACATCATCACACTGGCGAAAACAACGCCAACCAGGTACCGCAAATCCTGGCAGCGAACTTAAGCGAAACAAATCAATTGAACTAACAAGTCGCCGCTGCGGATCTATAGTACAAGTCGGGATGGGGCGTCGCTTCCCGCACGGTTTGCTCTGCGGCGCCAGAACCTTCTTTCAGAATTCGACGCATGCGTCCTCAATGCAAAGCCACCGCAGGGTGCGACGACAACTTATCAACCAAATTCAACAAGCTAAGCGGGCAAACTCTGCGTGAGAAGGTGCTCCCATCGCTCGTGTTCCGGCGCACCAAACGCCAAATCCAAATCGGCCAAGGCGTGGATCACCTCCATGTTGATCCCGGCGCCAGTCTGGCGGAGCAGTATACTTATTTGAACTGCACCTGCCGCATGAAGCATTCTTTTTTGTTCATGACCGATATGGCAAAGTCCTTGGGCCTGCTCAAGGAACCTGTCAGAAGCGCCATACGCCCCAGAGGGCCAGGCAACTGAAGTTCCACGCAGCGTGATGACATTTATCGTTCCCCACATTATTGCGCAGACGTCTTGCTTGTATCTGCGTCCTGCCATCCACCGCCGCATCCACCCCCATCCCCCCCGCTTGCACTCACTTGCACCCCCACCCTTGCACTCACTCACGTTCAATCTATCTCGCATTGTTTGATTGTTCGGGCAACGCGCTCAACTCAACTCTCAAACCACTGCCTCACCCAACTCAAGTCACTCACATTACCTCACTCCTACCAATTTACACACGCCGACTTGCACAGTCACACGCACGCTCTCACTCAACAGCTACATTCTGTTTCTTTCCACTTTTGCTTCCACTTGTTATGAACACAAAAGCTTCATATGTAGGGCTGTCTGGTCTTTTATCGTCTCCCATGACTTGCCACAGTTCACGTTAACGACCAAGATCAATGCTCAGTATTATTGTCGATGGGGTCAGGTATGATTCAAAAACAAACTGTCAATAATTCAGTTCAATGGGTTCCCGTGAAACATCAGCCAAGAGACAGCGATCGGGCTTTTGGCATGCGGGGACACAAGTGTTGCGTGTGTGGCTGTTGTCGTCGTTACGTCGCAAGTGATCACGTTGATCAACCTGCCCTGGCCAATCCCGCCATGAGCCATCATCCTCGGTCCTCGGGGTCGACTGCAAGCTGGATACCTCGTGGCGGGTGGAGGCGGCGATTGAGTCTGCCCTCAGTCGTTTGACAAGTAACACAGTGAGACGCTCACAGGACAGCACATGACTCGAATTTCAACTACGCCACGAGCTGCGTGAGGGCATTTTCAACACCCTTCAAAAGGTAACCAGACTTGTCAATCCCCTTGAAAGCAGCCCTCAGCAACATGAACAGGCTCAGATCTCCACAACGCTGCCAATATCAGATACACAAAATTTTGCCGCCTTGCGATTAGCCACGCGAAGCAAGTAAAGAGACTAAGATCAAAGCCCTCCGACAAGTGACACATGACTTGCGACCCAAGCCAAACCATGCATGCGGACATGAAACGCTGAACTTTTGCTAAGGCACCCACACACTTTTCCTGCTTTCACATCAGTCTTTCTTAAACGAATGCAATCGCAAAAGCGCTGCGCAAGCCAGCATCTTCTCCGCGCACAAGGACACGTCAACGTGAGTCTGCCTCTTCAAGGATGTGTTCAGCGCTGGACCTAGGAGGTGACCGTTGACAGGCAGTGTCTGTCACAGGACCAAGGCTCATTCTGAGCATCCAGTGACGAAAGTCCTTGCCTTTCGATAGGCCATGAAAAGGGCGCCATAGTCACGCGTTGACAATGTGACGTGTGGCTGGATGTCAGGGCAAGGATATCGTCGTCGTGTGGCATAATTGGGTTCAACCAAGCACTCCCGAAGTCACCTACTTAACTGTCACTCTGTCAACCTTCTGACTGTGTCAAGCGACATGCGCTGCAAGGCGACGACTTGTTCAATGACTGAATGTTTGACTCTGAGGCGTGTGGCATGTGGCATGTGATCCTGGGCATCTGACAAAACATGAAGACCGCCGAAGGCAAGCGAATGATTTAATTTAAACATGACTCAACGCTGCAAAGCTTGTGTTGCATGAAAAGTGACACGTGACTCACAATGGCAAATGAAGGACTTTTAACAGCTTCGCGTCTGTCTGCGAGGAAGGCCTGAACCTCCCAACCCATGAGGCATTGGACGTCACATGATTTAAATTTAATTCTGAGCCGAAATTCTGCAGTACATGAAGGACGAGCGGTTTGGTGGACCACTTGATAGCTAGATAAATTGCAGAAAAATACGTTAAAAGAAACTCAAATGCTGCAGAAACATATTTTGAAAACTCAGATGTCGACCCGGATAAACTGCAGAAACACAAATACCTATAGTACCAAAAAAGAACTCAAAGGTCCACCCAGCTACTGCCGAAGCCGAACCCATGACAACTTTGTGAGTCGGGCGTCATGGATTTCTCCTCAGGCGACATCTGCGCAATGCGCTGCATGATCTCGCCCTCACCTCAGCGGCACAGAGCAAAATCAACCTTGCGAAGCTGTGGAAAGGCAGAAGGCCAAGTTCTTGTATTCCATGATATTCCATGTCCAATGGGCCCTTCATTCATGCGTCGGTTATACCTGCTGTTGTTCCACAGGTAGATTCCAGGAGCCAACTAAACAGTTTTGTTCGCGGCTTCGAAGCCGCTTCAAAATCGTCCAGGCACTGAGGTTTGCCAGTTCCGCCAGGTCTGAAGCTTTCAGGGCGTCCGTGGGGCTAGGGCCGCTGGGATAGAGAGCCTTCTTCACCTCGGATGATGGACGCCGCTCGCCGCGCATGGGCAGGCTCGCAACACCTCACTGGTCTCCAGTCGCATGAAACCTATGGCCACACCGAATAGGTCCCGCAAAGATACTAGATTCGTCCATTTTAAGTTTATATATTTCTCAGGCTCGGCACGTTCTCCAAGAAGCCCTTCTTCATGGCCGGAGACTGTGATGTGGGGCCCTCCTGCTTGGGCTCATCAATCTTCTTTGGCACGCCTGAAGCCAAATCAACTGGTCGGTCTTCTAGTATGCCATGAAAAAAAGACTCTAGAGGAACAGAGACAAACGCTTGACACGATTTAAGATATCCCTCAACGATTGGTTTTGAAGCCATGCCCGGCATATCCTAACCATTAATGCGACGACCGGCAAAAAAACGGACGTCTTGCGTGGCCTTTCGCATCGAAATAGTAGTCCCGGCTATCCTTCTCAGGCGGCTCAGGCTCTTCTTCGATCTGCTCGAACCTTGCGCACCACACTTGAGGACTCGAATGGTCTAAACAAGAAAGTGAGCCGTCAAAAAAAATTGCCAATCAAAAACTCTCGAGCATTGACTAACGAATCCCAAAAATCCGTGCCAGAATGATGATGGTAGTGGTAGTGGTAGTGGTAGAAGCTGCTTGCAAATCAGATTTCGTGGCAGGCTAGGAAACCGAAATACGAGATGCAGATTTCGTGGCGCGGGAGGCGGGTTCGCGGGAGCGCGCTTCCTCCTTCCCCTCGGGCGGCTCACAAAAGGTATGCTACGTTAGAACGGCTTCTATGATAGAATGGCTCTTTCCTCCTCCAACATTCTGCCTCGGCTGACTTTCAAAAGGTATGCAACCTTGGGGTAGCTCCTTCTTCTAAAGTTCACCCCCTACAGCGGAATGGCAACTTCCCCACCTTGAAATTTTTACATCGACTGGCCCACAAAGGTGCGGTCCTTCCTCTAAATTGTTCCCTCAGTTGGCCCACAAAAGGTGTGCTACGTCGGAATTTCTCCGTCCTCCTCCTAGACTGGCCCACAAAAGGTATGCTGTGTCCGAATGGCTCCTTCCTCCTTGAAACGTTACAAGCAAGTGGCCAACAGAAGGTATGCTACGTTCGAGTGGTATTTGTTCCACAGCACCCTTGGAAAATTGGGAGTGGGGTGTGCAGCCATTATGGTGAAGGCCTTCAAGGCTTCCAAAATGCGCGTGTTTTTGAGCGAGTCGTTGTCGACATGTTTTGGCAAGGCGGCGTTTTCTGCGTTTTCTGCGTGAGTGCCATGGGCTTGGGTTGGTTCGATGCCTGTCGGATCAAGAGACGAAGTAGGACCAGGGACCAAAAGGCGGGAGGAGCTGATTAGGCACTTAGGCATTTTTTGTGTTTTGATTTTTGGATTGGGTGCAGTATTTATTGACAATCTGTTTTTGCTCCCTATGCCAAAGAATGATTCAACCCACGCAACTCAGTTGCGTTGTTAATCTCTCTTTGCGACGCATTCTTCAAATACAGACTCTCCCTGCTCACCGCACCGAATTGAGAGCTAAGAAGAGACCAACCTGGGACCTAGGACCTAGGACCTAGGTGGTGACTCGTCCTGAACCCAACCCTGTCGGATCTTGCATTTGCCTGGAGTAGTCATTGGTGTACTTCTTGGTGCCCTCTGTCCCATCTGGACGATCTGCTTCCCATCCTCACCGGTGCAACCGGCCGGCCAAAGCGCAGTCCGCTCGAAACATTGGAGTGCCGGAGGGGGGAAACAGGAGAAACCTCGGGCTTCACTCCATAAAGAAATGGAGCGACTCGCAACCCATGGAGTTTTGGTGTGATGTCCTTTCCCCGGTTGGCTTCTCTTTTTTTCGGGGTTTCCCTCGTATTGAGACACGGAGAAAACCTCAAAAAGCCTAGGCCCTAGTGGCCCTAGTCCTAGTCTCCTATTAGGTTGGAGGCCATTGTTCCTTCCACCTTCAAAACCAAGCCGCTGTCTGGCGCGCTCTTCTTGGCCCATTTGTCCAAGTCAGAGAGGATGTTGTCTCGGAACTCCTTGGAACGAGAAAGGCGTACCACCGCAGTCCAAACACACTAGGGGCTCCTGGCCTTACTATACTAGGAGCAAGGACGCTACTAGGGGCTCCTGGCATCGCTACTAGGAGCAAAGACGCTACTAGGGGCTCCTGGCCTTACTCCAGCCCAGTATGAGTTCCCCAAGAAGGGGTGACTCCGGTTCCAACGGAGAGACCCAACTGCGCCTCTCAGTCAGGAGCGAAACCAGCACCAAAACTCGCTCCTGCTGCTGGCGGTTGCTCTCATTAGTAGCATCCATTTGCTTCTGGTGTTCCTGACGAGGTGCGTCTCAAAGGCTTGGGGACGTCCCAAACACCAGAGCTAATGCACCCCAAGGCTGGTGGAGAGGATCCGTGCCAGTACTCCACAAAGGAAGAGCTCAAAACCTTTCAACCGCGCTAGCTTCTTCACGAGTTTATGCAAAGCTACCAGGTTCTCTACATTATATAGAATGATGACGATCATGGCAAGACCCCAACAAGCTTTCAATGCTCCATCATGCTCCTAAAGAAAGGTTGCGCACCTGGTACTCGGGACTTCTGGTGTCCACGATCTTGCACTGATCTCGTAACCCTCACGATGAGCGCAGAAGAGCAAAGCGTAGGGAGCAAGTTGTGTTGCAAAGTAGGAGACAAATGAGACAAATGCCTTTTACATCATTCTTCTGAGCGGCTTTTGGGGATGTAGCCGAGCGGGTCGCCCGCGTTCTCCGGCAAGACCCCTTCCTTGGAACCTGTCACCAGCGGCTCGCATCACATGCGTTGCTTGCCCGGTCGTATACGCACGCACGCGTCTCGTGGTGTGAGCTCCGCTCCGTTCGGTGCGGACCGTCGCCCAAACCCTGTGAGCCTTCAGGTCAAGCCTCCCGGTGCCCAACCCGTTGGAACGGAGGCAGCCTTCAGGTCCATAGAGTTTGGCCTTGCCATTCAAAAACCCCTTCTTGAGCGCCGGCGCTGGTCCTCGGCCGAGGAACAGCGATGAAAAGCCATGAAAAAAAACGATGAAAGGCTTTGGTAGAGCTTACCATGTCTAAAGCTCTTTGTAGGAAAAATCGAGATGGATAAAGGTTCAATGATTGAAATGTATTGAAATGTGTCAAAATTCCTTAAGCATCCTGCATGCTCGGAGGGGTCGAAGAATGAATCACTGCCATGGGGCTCACATCCGGCGTCAGATCCTCGATCAAGATCTCCTCCGGTTCCTCAATGTCTATGAAACTTCTCACTGGATTCCTTCAAAGACTAAGGAGTCTCCGCTCTTTCTGGGGGCCTGGTGACTAGTAATTCCATACTGGATTGCAACATTCTGTCGAGCATGAAGTCTGGTTTGTCCACGCTTTGCTTGCTTCCTGAAGCGTCCCGCACCTCTTTGGGCGGAGGAGTCCGAAGCTCTTCATCAAAGGAATCCTTTTCATCTGGAAGTTCTCCTGGGCTCGTTTTCGGCTACAAAACACGGACTTGGTAAAATGCTGGTCATGGCAGGAGCCTTTGTCCTCCATCATAACATTTGTCCAGCTTCTGTGCAGCGCTTCAATAGCTTCAATCCCCCACTAGTCCCCATGTAGTAAGACGATCGTCCTAATATGTCCTAATAAGTTATATTTGAGTTGTTCCCTTCCTTCGGGATGTCAAGTAGTGGTTGTTCTTGGATAGGTCTTCACCTCTTCAAAACCAAGGCACGGAACTCTCTGGCATCACCATCTTCGCCATCCTGAATGGGCCGAAGCGCGGCGTCATATCTCCCGGGCGCGTATGGAGGAGATGGCACCCGGTTCAGGCACGATGCGGTGCCCTTGGAGAACTCATGTGACAAAGCTTGAGGGTCTAAGGGAGTTCGTGGCATCTGTTCACCAGTTCGAGACTTGAATGTCCCATCAGAACTGAAGACCAAACGGGCTAGGTACCTGTTGTTTTTTTATTCGTCAATCAATTCAGCCCCATGGAGGCCTTGTACCTGAAGTCTTTCACCAATTTGATACTCGAGGTCTCCAGCTTCACGTTCAAGCTCTCCTGGCGACTGTGTCGCGGATTTTCACGGCCGGGACTGGGCTGGGGACGGATTCCAATGGGCCATGAGCGCCATGGGGGAGTCGTGGGCCGCACCAAGCTGAGGCCCTCGGATGTGGCTCGGCAGGCTCAGCTCGGCCTCAATGCGCTTCAGGGTGAGGTTGATGACGAAGGGTCGGAAGGACTCCATGCTGTTGCAGAAGGCATCATCCACAAAGAGCTGTATGATGAGAGGGTGGAACACCACGTCCTCACATCAATGGCTCAAGGCACCCTACAAGAAAATTGGAGAAATCCCGCAGAAAGGAACACTCAGTCAGAACTCTCTGGATGACGTTCAGTCGTTCACAAGGCTTCGAAGCCAAGCGTCCAAACAGTAGGTCGTCTGCTTTGCACCCTCGGCACGTTCGCCCTTGACTTTTCCTGGGCACTGATCAATCTCGATCTTGGACGTCTAAGCTCTCACCGAATCATCCTCTGTGAGTTTTTGGGCTGTTGTTTTCCCGCCAGTTGACTAGTCTAGTTTTTTGCTTGCAAAAGGCAGTCTTGACCAACTTTCACATCATGGTTCTTTCCAAATCTGGTGAACTTCCTGATTGAACCATATGCATTCCATTGTATTCCCATGTCACCCATGTGACCCTAGATGACATTAAATGACCTATTCCGCAGTCTTTCACGATCCATCTTCCAAGGTGCGGAAGGAGCCCATATCAAACGGCACCTGCAGATTAGCGATGCCATGGCGTAAGATCCAATCCTTCGTGACCTGCCACAGGTGCCGACAATTCTCAAGTCATCGCAAGAGGCTTGCTTGCTCGGTCGCTTGCTGAGAATCGAACAAAGCAGCAACTGTCAAAGAGTCAAGGCCCCTCAAGCCTTCTGTCCGGAGTACGACACCGGCAACTCCACCAGCTTGTGCATGGTCATGTTGAGAAACCTCGAGGCCGGCTGTGACTGTGTGACTTCAGCTTCAATGGCTTCCTTTGAGCCAAGAGTCACAACAAAACTCTGCTACTATACCTCCAGTCGACCTATGCTTCACTACCAAATCTGCACAACTCGAGTTCTGGAATGAAGATCTGGCGCCCGGGATCCATCTTCACGCATCTGGGCTGCCAAACCCCTTCCTCCTCCTTACTCCCACGCCATCCCCCTTCGACCTTCCTGCCCCACCGGTCCGCGTGGCCATCGCCCCGGAGGAGAGCCGGTGCTTCTGGCCTGGCCAGATCTGAAAATCCCCAGTGTTTAGAATTGGAATGACCTAAAGTCAGTATTTGACAGGGCAACCGTACCTTCTTGGAAAGCTGGCCACTTGTGAACTGCGTGGGTGCCCCCCCACCTGCAAACAGAAACCCACCCCAGGCCGCAGCGCCGGCGTGGGCCCCACCGCCATGGCAATGGCAGAAGCGACAGAATCAACTGAATCAACTGAACCTTTGCAAGGTGTACAGCACTCTCATCAGGCATCAGAGGCACAGTTTGCAGTGATCTCTTGATCTAGCACTATCCTTTTTGGGTTGCCAATACCAGTCTATGTTGCTGCAAATACCTGACTGTGGCTCCGGCTCAAGCATTTGTTGATATCGTTTGGAGAAGAATGATGAGGTATAATTAGGCACTTCACACCCACAATCTGTCATGAAAAGTCCTAGCTACGCTGGCAGTGAGGCCGCCACAATTGGATGCGACGGAGCAAACGGAACAAGAGTGATCCCCAAAGGCATTCTCCACCAGGGCCAAGATGCTACTAGCATCTTCTCTCTCCCAACTCTTCTCAGTACGAGGAATCTGACAACCCTGTGTGGGCTCTGGTGACCAGATCATGCAGGTTTCGACTTCCCAGGGGGTATTCCTACGTCCGATCCGCTTCATCCGGCCTGGCCGAGGCGGGTAGCCTGGGGCGGGTGACGCCGTTCGGCACGTCGTTTGCACCACAAACGCTCTTTTGGAAATCACCGCGTTTTCAGAAAGTTGTGACCAACAAACATGTCGTTCAAGCTGGAAAGGACCGATGGAATCCTTGGCAGATAGGAATCTCGCACCTGGCGGTATTCCACCAGCACTGCCATGCCTTAGAAGTCCAAGTCGGATGCTGGAGGCACCCCTCTAACCCAGTTTCAGCGCGAAGCCGTGCAGGAAAAGAAACGAACTTGAAAAACGACATCTCAAGACATCAGGCATGTCGTCACATTGAAGTCACTGTACTAGGTTGCCTGGCTTGTCAAGGGCATTGAATTTCATGTTGTGGACATGCAAAATGTATCATTGAAAACTGTGGCTATAAACACAATCCAGTAAATGTGCACAGTGCACAGGCCCGATTCCTGTCCAGTCAAACACCTCCATCTGGGCCACCCCAACCACCCCTGCGGTGGCGAGGTCCTCGGGGTGGTGGGGGGGGGGCTGTGCCGGGCTGTGTCTGGGAGTCTCTCGGAAAAATGGGTGATCCCCCACACCGCGGACGTGGAGTTTCGGCCTTAATGATTGACAAATCAAGCCACGAAGTCCTTGAGAACTTGAGGCCAAGGGGGGGGCGAAAGCTAGCGCTCCAGAATGGGAAAGTGGAGGGCAGCGAGGTAGGAAAAAACACGGCGCTCTTTTTGGAGGCAGGGGTGAAGAGTCCTTTATATGTGGCTCTTTGCCCGGATCCTCCTGCGAGAGAAGAGAGAGAAGAGAGACGGAAAGACGAGAGACAGAGAGGAGAGAGAGAGAGAGAGAGGAGAGAGAGATGAGAGAGATGAGAAAGAGATGAGAGAGATGAGAGAGATGAGAGAGACAGTGAGACAGTGAGAGAGTGAGAGTGAGAGTGAGCGAGTGCGGCCGCAAGATACGCAACGCTAACCGCATGCCAAAGAGCGACGACAGGACGGAGTCGAACTTGCGAAGAGGGAGGAGGGAGGGACGGAGGGAAGATGGGAGGAAGACAAGGAGGAGGAGAGGGGAGGTGGGG